ACTTGCCCCAAATTTCAAATTCCCCAAATTCCACTTTTCCCATATTCCAAATTTTCCAAATTCCAAATTCCCCAAATTCCACTTGCTCCAAATTTTCAAATTCTCCAAATTCCACTTGCTCCAAATTTCAAATTCCCCATATTCCACTTTCTCCAAATTCCAAATTCCCCAAATTCCACTTGCCCCAAATTCCAAATTCCCCAAATTCCAAATTCCCCAAATTCCAAATTCCCCAAATTCCAAATTCCCCAAATTCCAAATTCCCCAAATTCCAAATTCCCCAAATTCCAAATTCCCCAAATTCCAAATTCCCCAAATTCCAAATTCCCCAAATTCCAAATTCCCCAAATTCCAAATTCCCCAAATTCCAAATTCCCCAAATTCCAAATTCCCCAAATTCCAAATTCCCCAAATTCCAAATTCCCCAAATTCCAAATTCCCCAAATTCCAAATTCCCCAAATTCCAAATTCCCCAAATTCCAAATTCCCCAAATTCCAAATTCCCCAAATTCCAAATTCCCCAAATTCCAAATTCCCCAAATTCCAAATTCCCCAAATTCCAAATTCCCCAAATTCCAAATTCCCCAAATTCCAAATTCCCCAAATTCCAAATTCCCCAAATTCCAAATTCCCCAAATTCCAAATTCCCCAAATTCCAAATTCCCCAAATTCCAAATTCCCCAAATTCCAAATTCCCCAAATTCCAAATTCCCCAAATTCCAAATTCCCCAAATTCCACTTGCTCCAAATTTTCAAATTCTCCAAATTCCACTTGCTCCAAATTTCAAATTCCCCATATTCCACTTTCTCCAAATTCCAAATTCCCCAAATTCCACTTGCCCCAAATTCCAAATTTCTCAAATTCCACTTTCCCCAAATTCCAAATTCCCCAAATTCCACTTGCCCCAAATTCCAAATTCCCCAAATTCCAAATTCCCCAAATTCCAAATTTCCTAAATTCCACTTTCCCCAAATTCCGAATTTCCCAAATTCCTCACACCCCAAATTCCCCAAATCCCAAACTCCCCCCACCAAAAATTCCCTAAACCCCATCCCCAAATTATCCTCCCACCCCAAAGTATTCAAATTCCCAAAAAGAATTCCCTAAAAGTCACCTAACCGAAGACTTCTCCGCCCTTGCCCGTGATATTTTCCCTAGGGAAACCGAATTTGCCGTCGACCGTACAGATGTGTACGTATACACACGATCGAAGCGTGAAACATCGATAAACGTGCGCCTTTTGTTGATGGCGGACAAAAGATGACGAGTATCGGCGTCGAAGGACAGCAATTTGACGTCTCTTTGAATCGCACTTTGAAAACGGAACTCTCTCCCCGTCGAACGCGTGCCACCATTTTCGTACGTTGTAATTTCGTTGACAGTTCGACGACAAACTTACGGGTTGACAGTGGGCCAATTCGGGTATAGAATCGACCCCATTGAGGTTTCTGGTATTCTTTTGATAATTATTCATTGAGTTGCTATTCTATGTGTTTCGTTACTGATGATTCTAGTAGAAATTTTGATTGAGGATATTTATAAATCTTTTCAGTGATAAAAGACATTTTATAAATTGTTTTCAGAGATAGAAGATAAGATAAACAAATCCAGTCTAACTTTAATACTTCTAACCTTGTCTCACCTGGTTTAATCTAACCGAACCTTATTTGATTCGATCTAATGTAACCTAACTTTTCCTTATGTAATGTAACTTCATTTGATCTAATTTATTTTTGTCTAATATAATCTCACATATTTTATTTTAATATAAAGCGAACAAACCAAATCTAAATTGATTTAAATGCACATAACCTAATATAGTTTTATCAAATTTAATATAACAAAATCTAACCTAACCTCATCTGACATAACTTAATCTAATTTAACCTAACTTAAAAATCACTTAAAGTAACATATTTAATAAAATACCTAATTAAGTAGAAGACATAACAAATTTTAAATAAAATTATTATTGCACTTACAAATTTTAGTAACGTAACATAAAAAAATGTAAAATATAAACTTCTTACAAAAATTATTAATTAACTCTCTATTTCTAACAATTGCAGTACATAGTATATTTTACTGTTTATTAATAATATTGTGGTATATGACATTTTTATCATGACTGTTAATCATCGTACATTAAGTAAGTATACATAAGTAATCCAATGAATAAGTAAAATTTGTAGAGTAAGATATTATACACAGATTTGATCGACTGCTTTCCTTGACATTGAATACGAATTCCACGTGGATTTCCATGTAACGTCAAACCACTGTTTGCGAGTAGATATACCTATAGCCAGCGTTTCACCGACCTAATTTATAAGGGGTAGATCACTTAGATTAGATCAGATCTTACGGATTGGAAAGGCAACTTTATGGTTTGCATGGACCATATGCACCTCGTGCTTTATAAGGGTGCTCCACTACCCCCTCGTTTAATCGATCAGATGCAAAACTGATGATAAGTGTACTTACTTTTTCATGATATATTTCTTTCAATATGTAAAACAATGTAGTACTTTTCATGTGCAATATTGTTGGTTTAAAAAAGAGGAATAGGAATCATATATGGTTTTGGAAAAGTAGAAGGAGAAATAAGTAATATTTAGGGAGGTAGGTTTATTAGGTTGATGTGGTTGATAGTTTTAATATAGGACAGTTTAATATGTGATAGTATTTACAAAGAGGGTGTGGATGTAACGTTAGAGAAATGGTACTAAACTTTTATCAATTTTCCAAATCCTCAAATTTCAGAAATTCTCAAAAAACCAAGTTCACAAGTTACTAAAATTTCCAAGTTCCAAGGTTCCTAAATCCCCAAATTCTCAACTCCTTAAATCTCCGAATTCCCAAATTACAAAATTCCAAAAATCCCAAATTCCAAAAATTCAACATTTCAAAAATTTCCAAATTCCAAGCACCCCAAATTCCAAGAACCTTAAATTCAAAAAATCCCAAATTCCAAGCACCCCAAATTCCAAGAACCTCAAATTCCAAGCACCCTAAATTCCAAGCACTCCAAATTCCAAGAATCCCAAATTCCAAGCACCCCAAATTCCAAAAATTCCAAATTCCAAGAACCCCAAATTCCAAGCACCCCAAATTCCAAAAATTCCAAATTCCAAGAACCCCAAATTCCAAGCACCCCAAATTCCAAGAATCCCAAATTCCAAGCACCCCAAATTCCAAAAATCCCAAATTCCAAACATCCCTAATTCCAAGCTCCCCAAATTCCAAGCACCCCAAATTCCAAACACCCCAAATTCCAAGCACCCTAAATTCCAAGCACCCCAAATTCCAAGAATCCCAAATTCCAAGCACCCCAAATTCCAAGCACCCCAAATTCCAAAAATTCCAAATTCCAAGAACCCCAAATTCCAAGCACCCCAAATTCCAAAAATTCCAAATTCCAAGAACCCCAAATTCCACTCAAATTCCAAAAACCCAAATTCCAAAAATCCCAAATTCCAAAAATCCCAAAATCTCAAATCTCCAAATTCCCAAATTCTCAACCACCCCAAAATCTCAAAAATATAAAAGCCTCCAAAATTCTAAAATGAACATTCTTTTATTATTACCAAAACGACCTAATTGTGTCATGACAGAAAAGAGGAACTAAAAATGCGGTCAATACTGATTATACAGCATCGGTAAAATGGTACGTGCCGCATTGTAACACTTAAGGGAGCGTTTAAATTGAACAAAAGCTCCTATTATCGAAAAGTCAGAGAGTCAAGCGGCACGTGCTTGCTAATTTGTTCTTCGCACGTGTCACCGATAAAACCGCGTCAAAATATTGCTCGCAATTTGAATAGGGCAATTACGAAAATAGAGCTTGAAACACGCCTATTATTTCGGTAAAAAACTGTAATTGTTAATCTTTATGTTTCCCTTTCTTTTCTTATTTTTATTGCTTTCTGTATGTAATCAAAATTAAAATCTGCATTAAATGAAGAAAATATTTATTACAAATCTAAATGTATCATTCTTATGATTATAGATATTAATAATTATTTATGCATTTAAATAATTATTTAAAATAATGTTCTTTTACTAGAAACTAATTTTTTATAAAATTAAAATTTATATTAAATTTGTTAAGATATTTCTACGTGTTTGGAAAATATAATTAAATGTAGTACATTTTGACAAGGAGTGACTGTATATTTTTTTATTTTCTACAATTTTTATCTGAATTTTTTTTCAGTCTCTCTGTTATAGTTTCTGTTTCTTTATCGACCAATTTTCGATGTAAATTGCCGGTTCGATCAAACGACGCGGAAAGCGAAAGTTTGTCATTCGGTTGTCTTTGACGGGCATTCATCTCAACGGAGACGATAAATACGATCTGAGAAGAGGCACTAGCTGCAGATCAAAGCCAGTGAATTTTCGATGCACCCGATCGAGGGTGCAGGGGTATCCTGAAAAGGGGGTTCACACCATATCGACAGGGCGTGGTCGAAATCTGTCACACTAGCCACCGACAAACCTGATGCCTTGTCATCGCTAGCTTACTATTTCTTTGCTTTGAAAATCAAACTGCTCCTAAATAGAATACCTAAATATTCCTCAAGGGTGGTGCACAAAGTTGCATACTATTTCTTTCTGTTAAAAAGCAAACTGTTAGAAAAATATTCCTCAAGGGTGAGACATAAAATTGAACTATTAAAATATTGCTCCACAACTTTCACATCTTTACATTTTGTCCTCTATACTGGGAAATGGTTCAGGTTATTAAGCTTCATAATATTTTAGGGGTCTTTCCATAATATTTTAAGGGTTCTTATTTTCAGAATATTCTAAGGGTTCTTATTTTCAGAATATTTTAAGGGTTCTTATTTTCATAATATTTTAGAGTGTCGTACTTTCATAATATTTTACGTTATTTGATGATGAAGAATTCGTAAACCAGATTCTCCATAAACCTAAAAATGGGATTATCAACAAGTTACCTCCTTTCACAGAAATGAAAGAAAAAATGAATTCAAAATTAGTTACTTAATACTTTTATTTACATGAAGGGGTGATCACATTATCAGGACATAATTTCAATAATAAAAACCCAAACTATATTTCTTAATTCGCAAACTAATTAGTCGACATTCATTTGTAAGTACATACATGAAGACTCCGCGGCCATTACATCGAGACATATTTAAGGCGGCAAATTTGAATTGTTCTACTATGCTTCGGTCTTCCCTAACAATTAGGAAAGTAATTCAATCTCTGGATTTACATCATCAATGCATTCTGTACTGTTACATAGTAAAAACCGAACTGTATTTCTTTTTGAAGTCGCAAGTTAATTATATCAATTAATTCGCGAACAAGACTGTCATTACATCAAACCATATTTACGGCGGTAAATTCGAACTATCCTATACTCCGTTTTTTCTTAACAATTACGAACAATGATTCAATCTCTACATCCACAAGATCAGTCCAGTGATTTTAAATAATAAAGACCTAAGCTAGGTTTCTTAAATCTTAAATAAGTTACACCACCTAATATTAATTTGCAATGAACCCTACAATCACATCGAAATAAGGCGCCAAATTTAAAGTGTCCATACCATCTTAAGTTTCCATACTGTCCTTACAATATTTTAACTAATCAGACTCGTGACGCACTTACGGTTCAAATACGACAAATCTTGCTTGAATATATAATACAATTCAATTTGAAGTTCAAGTCCAATTTGTATAGTCCATTGAATATAAAATAGTCACACGACTTTCTTTAACGATTTTAATACTACTGCAGTTAATAGTTACTTGAACATAAAATAGTCACACGACTTTCTTTAACGATTTTAATACTACTGCAGTTAATAGTTACTTGAACATAAAATAGTCACACGACTCTCTTTAACGATTTTAATACTATTGCAGTTAATAGTTACTTGAACATAAAATACTCACCCGACTTTCTTTAACGATCTTAATACTACTGCAGTTAATAGCCACTTCCGACGCACCTGACAAACTAATCATACGGCAAGTTAACGATCGAAAGTAAGAATTCGATCTCTAGATCCCCGGTTCCCGTTTCTGCTTTTCGACCCTCTTTGTCATCGTCATTCTTCTCTTGCTTCGCCTCCCTCTCCACGACCCACGTTTTCTTCCCTCTCTTATTTCTTTTCCTTTTTTTCCTCCTTGCTCGCGTGTTTTGCCAAGAGCCCTCATGGGCGGAAGCGTCACGTACAGCTCTGAAACAAAAACATAGCGACGTCAAATGCGATTACGAGAGCTGCGAGAGCAGCTCCAGAACGCGGATGCTGTGCTAGGTTAGGTGGAGAACGCGGCGTGGGCGGATGGAGGAGGGTGGCTAGAAAGGGCGGTTCAGGAGGATGAGGGGCGAAGGGGGTTCAGGGTGAGGGGACGAGAAGAGTGCAGGAGGGTGGAGAGGGAGCAGAAGGATACAGGAAACAGGGAGGGAGAGAAATATCGAGGAAAAAGAGAGTTGGCTCAGGGATGAATCTATACAGGGTGGAGCGATTACTTTGCTAGTCTTCAATGTTTCTATTATTTTTGCACTATGTTCGGTAGTAAATGTCTTCGTGTAGGGTTCTTATTATACGCAGGTGTTTAGGGTTCTCATTATCCGCGGTTAATAGGAAGGGAGATGGAGACGACTGGTCGCACGCGTGGTTGCTCGGTGTTCGATTCGACAGTGGGAATTTTGAGAGGTGGAGTTGGAATTATGGAGTTGTGGATTTTGGGAGTTTGAGAGTTAGAGGGTTTTGGAATTTTTGGGGGTGTAATTTGGGGAGTTTGAGAGTTGAGAGATTTGGAAATTTTAGCGTTAGAAATTTGGGGAGTTTGGGGGTTGGGAGTTTTGGGATCTTCAGTGTTAATAATTGTGGGGTTTTGAGAGTTGGAAGATTTGGAATTTTCAGTGTTAGCAATTTTGGGGTTTTGAGAGTTGGAAGTTTTGGAATTTTCAGTAGTAGCAATTTTGGGGTTTTGAGAGTTGGAAGTTTTGGAATTTTCAGAGTTAGCAATTTTGGGATTTTGAGAGTTATAAATTGTTGACTTTGGAAAATATTGTATTTTGGGATTTCTGATGTTTCAAAATAACAATTTTGAAACTTTAAACTATTTGGATACTTTTGAACTTTAAAAAAATGTGAAGATTCAACAATTTTTAAATTTTCAAGTTTTCAAGAAATTAATTTCTGAACTTTAGTACATTAAATCTAGGGGATTTTCGAATTTATGGTCTTTGGTACTTGGGAATTTTCAAATGTTCAAGCTTTGGAACTAGAGAATTTTTTAATCTTAAAATTTTGACATTTTTAAATTTTTTAAATTTGCAATGATATCACAGTTTAAACATAGTAGACAACAATTCAAATCTTTAATAAACTTCAACTTGAAATTACAAATAGAATTAAAAATTCAATTGGACTCCAATTACAAGTTGCATAGTTAAGGGATGCTAAATATAAAACAGATATAACACTTTCTCTTTCTTTATTTATTTCAACATTGGGGTTGTGAATAGTTACTTGTAGCTAACTCGTCTGACAAATAAATTGTTAATAAATAATTAACAATTTTGACTGACGTACCTGACATTTGAATTGTTAATAAATAATTAATAATTCTGCAGCCGTTAATAGGTTTACAAATAGTATAATTTAAGAAAGAAAACTTGTTAACAAGATCCAATAACCCCTTTAACAGTGTGAATGTTAACGCTCTTCAATATTCCCCTGATCACAACCCCACTATTAAATAAAGACTTGAACAACCCATCAAACTAATAACATCACCTAAAATAATTCTAACCTCCAATAAATACAAAGTAACCCTCACACTTCAATCAGTTCAACCCCTCAATTAATACACCAATTACCACAATCTCCACACTATTCAACTTGCATACTCTCCAGTACCCCAATATATAAATATTGATGTGTACAATAAATTGAATAAAAAATATTAATAAATAAATATCGATTATATATAAATATTAACCCCCCAAACTATTTATAAACAAAAATTTATCCTCAACTTTTACCAAGCGTATATCATCGAAAATAAAATTTGTTTTCGGTCCCATCGAATTACGGCGCAGAAAGTAGACAGGGTGAAAGATTGCGAGGTAGAGGGAGGAAAAGATAGAAATAGAGAGGGGTCGGGTTCCGAAAGTACGGTATCCAGGTCTGGCTTGGGTGTAGAGCAAAGGGTAGCTCGATAGGGACGAGGCAGGAGGGAAAGTGGACGCTTATCAGGGGTGGAGAATTGTCGCTGAGGTGGGGGTGGGTGGTCGAGTGGGTTCGGGGTTGATTCTACGAGGGCTTCGAGCGATGGCTCGGCCCGAATGTGAGCTTCTGTGGATCTGTGCGTGCGTGCATGCGTGCGTACGTGCGTACATGTACGAAAAATCGATCGGCACGTTCGACGCGGCAAAACGTGGACAGCCACGATTCTGGGGATGTAAATGGAATAGTCATCGAGGCGAGACACTCTCGATCATCTAAGCAGAAACATTTTTTTATTATTTTTGTTGTTGATGGTTTTTTGGGGATTTTAATTAATGAGTTTAAGAGGGAAGGTTGAATGGAGATTGAAAATAGGGGATGAGTATTCACATTTTTCGCTTACCAAATTTAAAATTCCCTAATTTCCAAATTTCCAAATTATCAAATTCCCAAATTTCCAAATTTCCAAATTTCCAAATTTCCATATTTCCAAATTTCCCAAATTACCAAATCCTCAAATTCCCAAATTCCCAAATTCTCAAATTCCCAAATCCCCTAATCCCCAAATTCCCAAATTTCCAAATCCCCCAATCCCCAAATTCCCAAATTCCCCAAATTCCCAAAGTTCCCAAATCCCCAAATCTCCAAATCCCTAAATCCCCAAATCGCCAAATTCTCGACTCCCCAAATCCCCAAATCCCCAAATCCCCAAATCCCCAAATCCCCCAAATTCCCCAATTCCAAAATTCCCAACTCATCCTACAACCTTTCTCTAACCCCAAACCCTCGACCTTATTCCCCAAAATAAAATTTTATACCCTCTTCCCCAAATAGCATCCACCAAATAAATGCACATGCAGCTCGACTCATCCCCCAACAAAAGTGCACGTCTTCGTATCACTTAAACGAATATGCCAACAGAAAAACGAAATATAGTTTGAGAAAAAGAAGAAAAAAGGAAAGAAATTATTTTTAAGATGACACCCGTTAGAATTAATGTTTGAACGTCGACGGTGGGGCGATGGTCGCCAAGCCTCCATTAAAAAGTTGTTAAACGCAGCCTGACGGCGCCCCGCGGCAAATTGAAACCCCATCATAAGTCTTCCTTGTATATAATGTACATGGCTGTTAGAGCAAGCCATCTACAAGATAGCGATATCAAAGTAATTAAGTATTCGATGAAGATATTTTGATCGACCTTATGCTTCAAACTGATATCCGATGATTGTGTGTTTATACACAAAATGGGGACGAGTGATTTATTTGTTTTTTGTTGGTTTTTTGGTATGTGTGAAATGATATGTGTGCGATGGATATATGTGGAATGTGCGATATGTATGCAATTGATATATGTGAAGTATGTCATATGTATGGAATACGTATGTGTAAAATGTACAGTATGTGTACAATAGGTATATGTAAAATATACTATATGTGTGCAATACGTATATGTGAAATGTACAATATGTATGAAATTGATATATGTGAAGTATGTTATATGTATGGAATACGTATGTGTAAAATGTACAGTATGTGTACAATAGGTATATGTAAAATATACCATATGTGTGCAATACGTATATGTAAAATGTACAGTATGTGTACAATAGATATATGTGAAGTATACCATATGTGTGCAATAAGTACATGTGAAGTGTGCAATATGTGTACAATAGATATATGTAAAATACATAATATGTGTATAATTGATGTATGTAAAATATGCTCTATGTACAATTGTTCACATATGTAAATGTTATACTATATTATATTCTACATATGAAAAACAGTTTCTTCTATATTTTACTCACATGTCATGTGAACGTTATATTGTGAGTGAATATGTTCCATATGCTTAATTTTACATTTTCTATGTTTATATTACATTACATTTTCTCTGCCATACTACATTATATTTTATACTCTATTACATTATAAATAAGCATAAGTCTATAATATATTGTATAATGTTTTTAATTCTTCACTCAGTCCTTCATGTTATTACTACAATTAGAGTTACCTCACATGTTATTTTATTAAATAGTATACATGTTAAATTACTATATATATCGAAGCAGTACAACATAAAGTATAAAAGAAATTGCTTTTTCAGTTTATCGTCTCGAAGATACGATAAATTTGTTTGACATTTTCGTTCCATATATCCCGACTTCTCTGCTACTGCTTTTTCGAGAAAAAAGCTCTCGAACAAGTTCAACGTTTTCTACGTAACGCTGACTGGAAACTCTTGGCCAAAGCAACGGGAGGTTCAAAATAAGAGAAAATCGTAGCGTAAAAAGCATCGAAGTGGTAGGGGTTTGGGGTGAAAGAGGGTGGACGAGAGAGAGGGTGGTTTAAAAGTACGTGAAATGGGAAAGGTGTGTAAAGGACATACAGGTACTGCTGTAAAATATAAAACTGAGCGGATAAGAGCGTATCGAGATCGGTTTGCTGACATTTTATTAAAACAACAAAAAATAACGTCTGTTAATAGTGATCGATAAATAATCTGCAAACACTGATATTTTTTGGACGAATCGTACTGTTAATTGCTAGCTTGTTACGTTACTATTAACTTGTTATTCACTTACTGCTAAATTACTAGAAATTTAGGTTAGGTAGGTTAGGTGGATTAGGTGAGTTAGGTGGATTAGGTGAGTTAGGTGGATTAGGTGAGTTAGGTGGATTAAGTGAGTTAGGTAGATTAGGTGGGTTCGGTGGGTTAGGTAGGTTAGGTGGGCTAGGTGGGTTAGTTGGGTTAGGTAGGTTAGTAGGTTAGATTGGTTAGGTAGGTTAGGTTACTTTTTTGTTATTCACTCACCGCTAAATTACTATGAATTTAGGTTAGGTTACTATAACTTGTTATGCACTTATTACTAACTTATTGTTAGGTCCTTATATTAATGTCCTCATATAAGGACATACTAAATAAATTCCTCATGTATTATTTATCACAACCATACATTTTATCTAAGTCGACAATATTTTATGTAACCAAA